CCATTCAATATGCATGATAAGACTGCATGGCTTCAATCACACTCCAAGACCTTCAAACAAAAAAAGATTTCAAGAGGACATACTCACAAAGAAGCAGACTGTACGTAAAATTACACCTATGGATATTTAAAGAAGCCTCAACATGGACTATTAGAGTGGACACAGGAATGTTGAAATGCCTTTAAGAGACTGTTTTCCCTCTCTAAAAATGAAACATATGTTGGATATTACATTTTTGACCTCTGTGTTTTGTCTTGTTCCATAACAGCATTGATGTATAATATACAAGTTATGTAAGAAGTGAAAGAGCACAATTAAGTAAATGTCAGAAAAGCATCAACCTGTGATTTTAAAGTATGAAACAAAAGGGGATCAGTATTTTATAAATGTGGTAGCTCTTAGTAGTTTTATGTTTTGTACTTGATGTTGTGCTTTATATGTGAGCTAGGCCTAAGTGTATGAATGAGAGTGCTAAGAGATTAAGTTAACCAGTACATCGAACAGATCAAAGTGAAGCTTTAGTTATTACGTATCTGCCTTTCAGCTGTTTTTGCATGGATCAATCAAAATACTTTATTAGCTTTAAATATTTTATAATATTTAGCAATCCATTTTCATTTAGGCTTCACTGTTTAGTACCTTTCAAAACAAGATAGAAGACTACATTTTAATGGGACAACAATGAAGAAGTTCAAAAGCATACTACTTTTGTCCTAAAATGTAAGATTTTCAGAGAGGGTTCACATATCTGTAATCTCATTAGGTGAGAGGAAAATAGCTGGCAGCAGTGGAACATTTCTGTGCATTCAGAAAGTTAGTCAGTTTAAAGTGTACAGTGTGCTTGAATGTTATTTTCAGTTGGATATTTCTGGAGAAATGAACAGATTGAGTGTTGGAGGATGGATTGAATAATATCTCTTTATGACTACTGTATATACATAATATACATGACCATGTATTTTAACTTTTTGATTTTTAAAGCCAAACTCTGGATGTTCTTTAATTTCAGTGTCTTATGAGATCGTGTAACAAGTTGAAAACTCAGAACTGAACATGAAGACTTAATGTTTACTTTACAATACTGAAACAACATAACTGTGGTTGATTTCAGCCAATGAAAGTTGTGCTCATGTGTATTACTGACTACTCTATGTATCTGCATAATATGCAACACATAAATACGGATACAGATATGACTGACATATATGACATGTCTGTATCTATATGCCTTCTTGGCCTATATTGGCCTATCTATATACCAATCTACTGAACTGTTTAAGGTGAACAAAAACAGTGGAACTCTTGTGCCATCAGATTTGAGCCAATTCGTATGTGAAACATTAAAATAATGCTGTAGAGTAGTCAAACTCTTTAGCACAGCTCACATTGCATTACTTATAAACTTGTAATGTTTTACAGGCAAACATAAGTAAGAACATTTGTACAGTGGTACTTTTATGGTGCAATATGTAGTAACTTGTGTAATGTGAGCTTACTGTCTGCTATATTCTGGTCTGTACAATCTATTAAATACAAAAAGAAAACAGAACAACAAACTTTATGATGGACTTCTGAATCTCTTGATTTTTGCTTTAAAAGGTGTAATGGGTAAAAGCTTTGGGACGGCTGCATTGTTATAAACAGAGTTTTATTACTTCTACTTCTGAAGAAGATTGGTGTCGATATCCTGGATAAAGTCATGAGATCTATTTGTGATGACAGTGTTAATAAGTTAAAGGCCTACTGTACTTCATTATAAAGCCCGTCCCACCCTTGTCAGCTAGATAAGTAACTTACTTAAGTTTCACTTCACTTGATGTGCCAGGTTAAAAGATATTGCGAATGATCAGTGTGATTTTCCTGTCAGGGTCATTTTATGGAACAGTATTCTGCTTGAATGTTAGTTTGTGAAAATGTAAATGTAAGATTGTATTATCAACTCATGGAGAAGACTAAAATGTCATAAGTCAACTTTTACTTTAATGTGGCTCATTCTCTAAATCTAAGTAAACACCAGGCCTAACACTGACATGTAGGCTGGTGTCATAAATATAAAATGCCAAAAGATCCTGGTTTTCAATACTGAGGGACAAGTTGTATGCATATATAAATGCTTCCTTGCTGTACTAGACAGACATTTTTATTTAAGATCAGAAAATCTTACTTTGAAGGTATAGCAGGCAGTGTTTGTGTTAGTACCCTATCAGAGAATATGATATACAGTAGCATTCAAGCTGTTGGATATTGAGTCAGTCAACCATGTCTTCCACACTGCTTCAAGAGCACAAGTAATAATTCAAGACTTTTCCACCACTGGAATGTAAGTATTCATTCAAATGAAAGATTCAGAGTTTGTCATAGTTGAGTTCTATAACACATAAATAATAAAGACAAATAGAAATGTATAAAATATTATGTAGTAATGAGTTTTGCATATTGTATTTACTGGTCTGTGCTATCTGACTGCTTAACTGGGCTGTGTTACTTAACATATGCATCCTAAAATGTTTAATTCATGCAATAAATACAAAATATATGCCTGTATGCAGTCAGACTGTTATTATCTTTACCTTTCTATACTTATTTTAGCAAAATAATCAATTGGCTTTATTTGAAAAGGTCTCTTTGAGTCTGAAAAATCAAAGAGTTCAAATGTTCACATAGGCTGAAAATTCTGTTTCTGCTTCCACCTAACGGTCAGTGGAGCCTGCGGCACACTCTGCTGCAACCCGAATGGTATTGTGGCATTGCAGTAACATTACACTTACTGAGTGTGGTGCTAAGTGCACCAGAGTGTAACTTAAACACCAAGCATGGCTAAAGTAAATAGTGTTAGGAGGAGGAAAACGTGTATCCAGTCAAACCTTTTTAGCTGAAGTTATTTTTTTCACTGTTTCTTTTTTAGTAATCACTTATTTCTTTTTGACAGACGGAGGATCACTAAGGATTGCAATTAATTATGTAATGGCCAAGGGTTGTAGTCCAGCTTAGGTCAATAGAGTTTTTGAGCAATCAAAGACAGGCATTTGAGGAACTCCATGACAATACCTTTCTAATGAATGGTGTCAGTGGAAACTGGCTCCAGCTATGTGCTCCTTCTGGGCTGTCTTCACTGATCACAGTCACCACACCCACCATGTGTTAGGACATCATGACCATCTTTATCCTGAAAAGAAACACAGTGTCAACTAACTAACTAACTAACTAACATTTAGGGGAAAAGAGCAACCACTGTATGTCTGAAGTGAAGCTCTAAATACCGTCTAATGAAAAGGTCACAAAATAGAAAAGTTTAAATAGCATAATGAGTGTGTAGTTATATAATACTGAAATATATTTTATTACAATATAATACAAAAAATCATCAGTAGGCTTGGTGTCTGTTTTGCAGACAGTGCATGTTTGCAGAATTTCTTTTTTAACTGAGGGCGGAATAATGAGTGCATCTGTCTGCGTTTGTGTATGCACACACATGACCTCATCTCCCCAGAGAGATGAGATCATAGGGAGAAGAGCTTGACATTTATTTTCATTCATTTAATATCCCAGACACCCTAAAATGTTACTGTTAATTTTATATATTTTATATTTATAATATGAGAAACATTTCCTTTCCCATCACCTCTTAACTGTGAGAGGAGACTCTCACATTGCCTGTTGTCTGCTGCTCTGGTCCACTGGCAGACTAGCACACTGATACATGACACAACAATGCAGCAATGTGGAACAAAACACTAGAACAACCACCAGCTGGCACTAGTAGGCTAACACATGTGCACCATAGATCAAGCTGCACTGTTTCCTATGTATTAGTATATATCCAGGGTCTGCTTTTGCTATGGATATTTTCTTAAATAATGAGAGAAATGTTGATTTTAAGGGTGATATTTGATATGTGTTTCTTCAAGAAGTATTGTCTGGGCTGCAAATAAATGCCATACCTCTGATATCTGCATTACAACATACTTATTGTAAATAAACCATGAGGGAGGGATATGACTGTGAGGGGGAATATGAATTTTAAATGGTTTAAAGAATGAAGAGCATCAGGGCAGGTGGATACAGCTGACTTTCTTTGTCTGCAGCATTCACAGCTCCTGCAGCCCTCCCCCTCTGCTTCCTTCCTTCCTGGGCTCTGCTTGCTTTCAGCACCATGGACAGTGACCTGCCTGCGGGAGCTGCGTTGCCATGGCGACGTGCTGTCTGTTCGCTGGAGCTCGCGGTGTGCTCTGAAGCTGCCTGTACTTTAATATTCAGACGTGCCCCCACTTCAATTCACAGTGCAGCATCTGCAGCTTGCACACATCAGATGAGCATTTTTTGTAAAATAAATAAATAAATATATATATTACCCCTGACTACCGAGGGCTGATCATAATGGAAATGAGGTGCTTTCAGACAACATGATAGCATTGATGGAGCACGGGGTAAACGATGACGGCAGAAATGGGTGGAGGTGTTGCAGAATGCGGCAGCGATTGTGCACGCGCACGTATTGGCCTAATTCAAGAACCAATACGTAGCCGTAGCATGTGGGAGGGGTGCATGGATTTGGGGCGTTTACTATATAGGTCACTTTCCTGTTTCCTATTTGCCGTTAGTGCGATCGTTATGTTTTCTTATCCATAATGTATTCAATATTGTCCCACGCGCTGCTGCAGTGTGGTAATGCTCCTGTATGCGGCACAAGGCAGTCAATGTCAATGCAGAGCAGACCACAGTGGGCTCATCGGAGGTGCACTTGCAGGTTAAATCCATGAGATGTCGCTGCACACCTCTGCAACAAGACGAAGGAATGTGGGAGTGTGCTGAACAGAACACAGAGTTTGAGCAGACAGAATGTGAATGTCAACAGCTTTACCTACATTAACACCATAATAATAATAATAATAAT